ATCACCAATTTATATGCACCTTTCTTTTTTTATCATGTTAGTTGTTTTATCATGTCACGTTGTAAACCTGTGGATTACAAACGAAAGGGTACCCAAAATGTAATTTGAAGTGACCATCTAAAATGTGTTCTTGCATACAAAGAACAAGCCTTTCTGCCCAATTACCTCATAGGAATCACTTCTAGTTAAATCTTAAATACGTGTATTACAGTGAAACACTGTTGGACAGTGCTCCGTCATCAATCAGTCTGTGTTCTTGAGGACACTCTTTTTCAAAACATTTTCTTTAAGGATAAAGAGCTGTGTTGTAATGAATGTGTGCTAACTGATCTCCCAAGCCGTTTGCATTTTTTTTTATTTGTATCAGTGTCGAAGTTGAGTTTCTGTAAGATATTTTTGCAGTATTTTATTTGTAGTCTTCATTATTTCAAGTTAAGCACACGAAACTCTTGATGCACCCGGAGTCTGCGCTGGTTCTTGTATATCTGTATTTAGTTAACGTGTAACCGTGATTGCTAATTTTCATGACAATTGTTATTGTACCATCAGTGCTTAATGGCAAGGCATCATTATTCAGTGCTGGTCAATCAGGCACTAAGACATGTGCAAGACATCAGGCTGAACCCATATAGATGTCGTGCACTTCCCTGCTAATGAATGCAGGTTTGTAAAAAGGTTTAAACACGGTTGGCATCCTTAATGTAAGGTTTGCAAAAGCTTATTGGGAAACTGCTTTGTGTTTATAAGACACAGATCTAAACACTGCACAAATAGAGTTAGAGACATTGTGTGTGCATGTGTGTGAAGCTACCGAGAAGGGAGAATCATTTGGGTTTTCACAGTGTGGAAAGGCAGCACAATATCTGGCATGGAATGAGTATGGGTGATTTGCTGAGGATGTCAGTGTTTGGAAAAGGCTGTGGGACTTGTTCTCCAAAGCAGTGGTCTCTATATATGTGAGAGCAGGTGATCCCTCTTCCCAGGAAGGAAAGCAGCCCGTGTGGTTGATCAGCTGTAGAACACAGCTGGCATGAGCTCCAGAGGCAGCTCCAGTGGTGAGAAGCCAGGAAGTCGGGTCAGGCGTTTAGAAAGGAGGAGCAGAAGAAACAGGAGCAGGATGCAATTTCTGCTCTGATAGCCCAGAGTGTTAGTCCAGCAGGCTCTTTTCATGCGTCGCTTAATGCTACCCTTGCATGTGCTTTAGTTACTGTTTCTGTGTGGTTTTGCACCCAAACGTTTTGGGCTGCTGTCCATGATAAACTAGATGGAGCTTGGTTTAAAAGCGCAGAGTTTTCATCTCTTCTAACTAAAAGCAGAATGAGCCCTTGTGCTCTTGGAGTCCTGAGTATGAAAGGAGCAGCAGATATTGGCTGTTAACGAGCTCCAGCACGCCGGGCTCCAGCAGAACTTGGTGTGAATTCAGTGCATAAGCTGCATCGACTAAATGGTTAATTCATCTCATATCAACAGTGCTATGATTCATAATGTAAACTTGAGGAATCCTTGATGTTTCAGTCACACATTCCTCTTAATTTGGCCATGCATTCTTTTAAAGCTACAGTGTGCTAACTTAATAAAATGCAGCATGCAAATGCACAAGTTTTTGCCTTCAGGCATTTTAGCCATGGATGTTTCAATGGGTGTCTTCTTTCAAGTACGTATTCTTTCTTAAATTATTTACCCTGTAAACATGCTTTGCATTTTCAAAGAAGAAACTGGGCTTCCTCGTTCACCAGATTTTGTTGAATTTAAGGTGTAGTAGAGATAAAAGAATATCATCTGCTTCTTGTGAGCATGTTAGCCTTTGGGATTTTTTTGTAGTGAGTATTAGGCTCCATTTTCTTTCCCTTTGGTATGATCACTCCCTCCCCCACTTAAATTCCTTGCTGCTTTGCCTAGAGCAATGCCCACTGGCAGTGTCTGGCTGTGACAGTACTATAGGCTCCTCTACAGATGGGTCCTGCCAATGCCAACCATTGTTCTACCGCTGTGAGCTGGCTTGACTGCAGTCTATCTATCACTCCAATCCCCATTTCCTCTTGATATTTTCTTTATTCCAAAGGGTTGCCCTTGCCCACTGACTTGGAGATGGGAAATCTGACACCCAGAACTGGTGTCTTCCACCTAAGCAGGCTGCTCCCAGCACCAGCCTCAGACATCCCACTTGCTCACCCCTCCATGGGTCTATTCTGCTGCTGGCTGCCTCTCTTGGAGCCCCATCCTCCCGACACTTTGCAGTCCGCTTAATCTTACTTCCTCACTTGAAAGTAAAACAGTAAAACTTAATGTTATACTTTTTTTTTTTTTTTTTTTAAAAAAAAAAAAAGATATAAAATTAATCTTTAACTGTGGGCTTGAATATTAAAAGTATATAATGCTTCAGTGTAGGAGTCTGTTGATAACATCCATCCTATTTCATGATTAATTTGTTCCTTCTAATATGATATTCTTTTGCTGCAGTGTGCAGACTAATTCAGATTCCTAGAAATTGAACTTTGATATGTATTTCCTAGATTCTCGCTGTAAGTGAACCTTCAATTAGCAGATACAGGTGGCAGCGTGCCATGCTCAATGCTCTCTTGATGAGGATTTTAGGAACGTGGACACCGATTAAATAATCTTGCAACGTGGTGTGCACTGACGGAGCATTAAAAATAAAGTTTTTTGGAGGATTTGGTACCTTTCTTTTTTCTTCTGATTTTTTTTGTAATTTTAAATCTCAGGTGATGAAATGCTCTTCCGGTGGGCCAGAGATAGGAGTTGATTTAAACACTTGGTATGTTATGTATGCCTTTGCCTAACTATGTGTTAGATTAAGCGAGTTTCACTCACAGTTAATCCTTTGTAAATTAGCATTATGGATGCCTTGGGGCCCACATCCCACAAATAAAATGGTTGTCAAGCCAGCTGCACTGTGTATTACTTAAGGCTGAATGTTTTAAAACTTTTCATGCTTTTAATCTATTTCACTGCTGAGTTTCAGTTTTGCTGAGTATCTTTTCAGGAGTGATGAGGCTGAGTGAGTAAATATATGTTCTGGTTTTCATGCATTTGCCTGGGTGGATCGTTTGTTGTCAGGTGTTTGGCAGAGAATGTCACACCCTGCCACAGAATGGAAGCTTGTAAGTTCAGGTGTTAAACTGAAGTGCAAACCAACAAGAACCAAAAGCCCTTAATTAGCTTTATTTTGTTAGCCCTCTACTTTTTTTTCTCCCCTTTTTTTCTTTTTCTTTCTTAAGAGTGAGAAACATCCCTCCCTCCTCCTCATCCTTTTGGCAGAGTAAATATTGCCTGTTAAGTTTGAATTAGCTGTCATCGCAAAAGAATTAATGCTGTGGTTGAGCCTTTCTAGTGAGGAAGGGAAAAATAAACGAGACAGATCTTAGTTCAGCTTTAAGTGATAAATGAGGACAAAGCAGCCCATTCATCTCCTGCTAGGAAAGTGGACACAAACACTAAAGCAGTTTTGCGGAAGACGTGTCAGCAAATGTGATCATTTTGTAACCTGTCAGGAGGATAGAGAGCTAGTCCTTTTAGAGTGTCACAGGGGAGGGTGTCTGTCTGATGTGACAGTTTGCATCCATCCATTTGCTGCTTTTTCGTTAGGTGGGGGGTAAGCATGGAGGGAGCTGGAGTAGGTTAAAACTGTATTTTTCCTTCCACTTTCCAGTATAATTTATATGTATATCCACCCACATCCAAATGAAAAACGCTTTCCAAGGAAAACTCCCCTCTGCTCTCTAGTTTCTGTCCCCTCTCACTGCATGAAATATGTTCAGTTTTTGCACATTACATTCCTTCTCAACTTTGAGACTTGCAGTCAGTACGTTTCACAAGACGCCGTTTTACTTTTACCATTATTTGGTTGGTAAAAGCTTTGTTTTGTTCTGTTTTACAGGAGCACGAAAAAAACCCAACAACCCACAATAAAATAAGAACAAAAATAACTTGGGGTTCTTCCGCTGTTGGTTTGGGTTTGGTTTTTTGCTGTCTCTCTCCAATTCTGATGATATGGTTCACATACAAATATGTCTTGCAAAAGTTCCTGTGTCACAGAGAGCCTATGAAAATATCCTTCCTCCTCTGTGAGAACAGAATAACAAACACTGGGTTCTTACAGTTCAGAATCCTTCTGTAAAATATCTCAAATTCCACTGTTAATTGATTTTTTCATTTTAAATGACCTATTAATTTCAGGCCAAATCTCGACCCGTACGATGTCTGATTTTAGAAGCAGGGATTTCTCCTAGAAATGATTACATGGTATCAGGATACTACTTCTAGTATCTTTGTATTATCACAAATTTCCCCTTTCTTATGCAAAATAGTAAATGCAACATTTGTCTATTACCATAAGTAAAGGTATGCTACAGAGACGGAGGTGTTTTTACAACATAAGCTTCACAGTTTGACACTTGCTTCTTTATATCATCCTTTTCTTCAAAACTATCTTTCATACTTTTCCCTTGGTATTTTAGTACAAGTAAGTACCTCATTGACATGTGTTTCCTTGAAACGTTGTACCCTAATAATAAAATCCCTTGAAAATTAATAAAGTTTCCTTTCAGATTTAAATAAGAAAAAAAAAAGCTTTTAGAATAGTGTTGAAAATGTAATGGTATTTACTACTACAGAGCACCCTGCGTGGACTGCATCAACTGAGGACTGATAGTGTAATTTGTTTTAGAAAGTTAATGTTAATAGTAGCATGATGCATTTCAGTTCTAATATGTGTGTATCTGTATGCATAATTAAGGAAAAGTTCATTCTTTCTTTAACCCCAAAGTCGAATTAAATAGCTTCATAAAGAGATATGTAGAGTACTGGAAATGGAAAGAAGTGAAAACAGTCAGGATATGCAGAATGGTGTTGGAAAACCTAAATTTGTGGCCCTGTGCCTTTTCGCCATGATATTTATCCTTGTACCTCTTTACATTGTTTAATATGTTTTCCACTGTTTTCACTGTGGTTTTTTTTTTATCTCTTCTGCTTTTTTCCAGGATCATCCAAAACCGAATTTTGATCGTTGTTCTGGCAGTCTTCATCATCCTCACCACCGCAGCAGCTATTTTTTTTTCTGTCCAGGGACGCTGATATCTTTATTCTGCAACAAACTGCTTGTTCTGAGTAATTAAGACAAAGTGGTCACATGAATCATTCTCTTGCACTGACAGAGTCTCCTTCTCTTTTCCACTATTCAACTCAGGTGCAAGTGGTGTAAAATACTTTATGTTATTGATGGCATAGTTGATGGCATGTGGCGTTGATTATTTTTCTCCTTTTTTTTTTTTTTTTTTTTTTTTTTTTGTCTTCATCTGAGTGTTTTTGGAATCTTAATATTCATTTAGGGGGGGCTTGCTCCAATATCGAAAGGCCTAACATGTCCAATTCTACCCCAGACAATTGGCATGTAAACTGCAAGAGTTTAGACAGCTAAAGGGGATCTTTGCACTTTTCTTGTGCTATGTGGGGTGTATGAATATCAAGCAGTACCTGACCTTATGTGATACAGAATATAAGTGAAGCGCAGACCAATGATGTAGAAAGTGAACCTGTCTCCTGTAACTAACTACTGATCATGAATCATTGTAATAGATGTAAGCTGGTTAGGAATGGTAGTTGTAAAAAGTGAGCAACCTAGAAGGTGTTTGATATCTGATGTGGATCCAACACACTATTTAACTTTTTTTTTTTTTTTAACTTTGAACTTTCTTTTCTGCTTATTCAAAACAATTCTGTTTTCATGTAGATCATGATAAAGCATCACTTGCTGAAAACATAGTTGTGACCGCGGCCCATATGCTGAATCTGTTTCGAATCTTCCAGTGTTGATATATGTGCTACCAAGTGTACATGCCAGACCTTTATTAAAAATGCATAAAGATATTAATCTATTCATTGTTGATTAAACAGAGATCCAGTGACAAACACTTGATCACTGCCCATTAACCCAAAATCTAGATTTTGCGTATTGGCCTGTGTTGACACCAGGTGAAAATATGTTCAGTCTAATAAATTCTGATGTGATGTTCCCCTTTTTAAACAACAACTGTAAAAATGTTCATTTATACATGCTTTTAGCTGATGCAATATATCAAAGTTTCATCCACCAGGTTACCTGCGTGTAAATGAAGTGTGTTTCTCGTTTCCTGTTGGCTCTGCCTCACCTATAGCAATGTCTGTGTCATTTGAATTACAGCTCCTGCAAGGATCATTTTTCTGGTGATGTGGTAATGTTCATGAGAATTTTTCAATTTATAATAGGTAATCTCTTCCAAATACTACAAATTGAGAAGGATTTTAATTTAAACTTAAAATATTTTCCTGAAGACTCTCAGTGAAAAAAAGTCTGATGGCTTTCAGATTCCCTGAAAATTGAGTAGCAAATGAGCACCAAATTATCACATCTTTGTGATCTTTGGGGTTTCAGCATCTCTGCAGTCTCTGCTGATGTGCTGTGCTGTCTCTGGGATTGATTTGGGGATAAACACCTGAGAGTTGATTGGGGCCCTAAGTGTGTTCTTCTACATAGAAATTAATAACTCAGCTAAAAGGATGTTGGTATTGATACAAGAGCTAAGATTTGGAAGTATGCTGATAAATTCAGAATAAAAAGAACAAGAAGAAAAATGGAACTCATTGAAACAAGTTGAAGCATGTGTGGTGAGGTGTGGGTTTTTGAAGTTTCTTACAACTTGCATCCCAGTTCCAAAGTGGTTCTCTGCCAGGTTTCTCTACTTACTCGTGTCAATGGCTGTAGGGTTGGGCTGGTCCAAAAGTTCCTGAGTAATCCAAAGCCATGTATTTATTTGGGAGATGTTGTGCTGGCCATAACAGTGCTGCTTGGTCATGTTCTGCTGCTTGTGTCTGTAGCCTAGCGATGCGATAAGGCAGCAGGATCCCCTTTGCCACCTACAGGTCCCCCTGGGAAACCCCCTCCTCTTGTATTTGCAAGGTGTGAGGTATGTATCCCATAACTCAAGCATGGAAAGATGTGATTGTTGAGCATGGAGTGTGGAGGCTGCCTGACCTTTAGTCACAACATGCATTCAAATTGTGAGTTTAAGTTTGCGTAGCTTCAGGTGATGGCAATGAGCTGACGTCAGGCAAATTAGGAAGAAGCCTAGCAGTGTTAGAAGGTATTTATCCTCTCCTAAGCAAATTAGGAGATGCGTATTTTGTAAAACGGAAAACTGTCAAGAAGGGAACCTTAAGCTCCATCTGTTGCCTAGACATTTTCAGTGTTGCCTCAATAATTTAACTATCATGGGGATTGATTCATGACTACTGATCTTAACAGTGACCTATGACTAGGTTTTGCCCTCCATCTAGCCACCTGCTGGAATCAGCAAAAAGCTGAAAGAAAACGAGTTTTCCTTATCGCAGTATAAATCTAGGGCATAGTGTCACATCAGATACATCCACTCAGATGGGAATGAGGGAGAGAGAGAGTTTGCCACATGAAGCCTTCATGTTCACTTTTGATGAACCCGTCATTGCCATGTTTCTTGTGCTAACCTGTTAATGACTTCTCTGTGCCTGCTTTGCATGTACTCCCCATGTGTAAAATATTGCTCGAGTAGAAGTTCCGCTCTGCCAAACACAACGGGTATGTGCTCTGTCCCATATCCCTCCAGCTCACGGGTGAGCTGCTTCAGGTGCTCTCCTGTTGGTGGGGATGCAGTGACTTTGCTGCGGTGTGTGGCTGCGGCACGGGAAGCGAAATGCCCGCAGGTAGGGTGACATCCCCTGGGCTCGGCCACCCCCCGAACTGGTTTTGTCACATCTACAATGCATCCGTGAATGGATACAAGTGCTTACGAGTGTATACCTCAAAGAGTGAGATGTTTCTAAGGTTGCCAGCCTTTGTTGGAAAACGACAAATTAAAAAACACGCACGTGGTGCTGTGTGCGGAATTCGTCCTTGCTAAACAGCTGCACTTGCAGAATAAATAAACTAATTCCATGCTGAAACAAAATCAAAAGCAATTTAATTAAAGACTCTTAAGTTTTAAAGGGTTTTAAATGCTCTACGTTTTGAGGAAATATCAGAAAATGTAGCTTGACTGACGTCAGTTCCCATCTCTGGGATGGGAGGCCATTTGCTATTCTGTTTAAGGCAGCCTGGATTGTCTTATTTTGGAGCCAGCTTGGTGGGGGGTTTTCTTTGCTGCTGCTTCAGAGCTCTGAGCTTCAAAGGCTGAAATTAATGGTGAACAAAATTGTGCGGCTCTGACCATCCCATGCGGGGCAAACCCATCGAGGGTTATCATTAAGTAAAGAAATAAAGAAAAAAAAAACCTGCCAGTTCCAAAAAAACCTCATCAGATAATGACCTCTGTGATTGGGTTTTCATTACCAAACAGCATCCAGAGATTGTCTGCCCCATAGAAAAAAAAAAAAAAAAAAAAAAAAAAGAAAAGAAAAAAAAAAAAAGAAAAAGAAAAAGAAAGAAAAAGCAACTGTGTCTCTCTCTCTTTCTCTCTCTCTCTCTCTCTCCCCCTTTTTTTTTTTGCACATCTTTTCTTTAAACCTGTCAGATCATTTCAGTATTTCAAATCCGAGGAAAACAGCCTGCCTGCTGCTGTATTTGAAGTTGTAATGGTGTCAAAAAGTCACGACTGACTGACAGCCGTCAGTCCCAGAGGAGCTCATTAAATCATAAAAACTTGACAAGGAAATAATTGAGCATCACTGGCAACTTGGCGCCTGTTTAGACGTTTTTATTTTCTTTCATTATTAGTCCCCACCATTACGTTCATTAACAAATTGCATTAAACAACTGTTAAGGGCTAATGATTTGTTTATCGCTTTTTTTTATTATTATTATTATTTAAACATTAGCTGCGTCATGTGGTACCTCAGCAGCCTCATACTATCATCTGACTGAATATTTTTCCACTCAGAGCTCTGGGTACTGCTGGAATATGAAATAGATTATTCATTACCCTCCTCTTTGCCACTGATTTGGTTTCATGTAGCGTCTTCCACAGAGAAAGATGAAAACTTGTCAAAAATAGGTTATATCTTATTCTAAGGGCAACAATAGCAGCAGGTACAGGCACACTTTAATATTTAATTAAGGTTGATGTTAACCCCTTTAAATGACTTTAGCTGTGAGTTATATTCAAGTGCAGAAGAGAAAAATAATTGTACTTAATTTGCAAACTGTACAGCAGGCATTCATCTTCGAGTTACTAGCAAATTTATAGAATAATTTTAAATAATGAAATTTCCAATCATAAATATGTATGTCCACTTTTTTTTCTTTTTCGACGTGGTCGTCAATTAACCGCTTTTGCGCACGTCCTAAATTTAACAATGATAATAAATCCGTGTTCTTTTTCTGTTTGTTTGTTTGTTTTGAACTGAGCTGTTCTCCTTTCAGAATCTGTCTGGGACGTTGTAAGGGTGGGAAAGAGCTCCATGTGAATCCACCGTCAGGTTGTTAGCTGCGGTAATGACTTACACGGCTGTGTTCCTCGCTGCTTGACAGCTTATGATAAACTTCAGGAGGATGTGGGCTGAGGCTTTTTTCTTTTTTTTTTTTTGGAGGGGACAGGGTGTGTGTGTTGGCATTTTTGTGTTGTTTGTATGAAACCACGTGAAGGTTTTGTTTTCAAGCAGATAAAAATAACTGCTGCTTTTTATAGGAAAAAAAAATATTTATTTTCTCTGCGTAGTTCCAGTTGTTGGTTGGAAATAGCCCTGTTGTGGTAGAAAAAGCTTCAGGAAAATTTTAAGATGGTAAAAAAAAAAAAGCAGTCTGTCACTGCAGCCGGTAAAAGGTGGGGTGTTAGGCTCCCTTTGCTTCGTAATAGTCAGGCTTTGATCTTTTCTCATTCAATACATCCAAATGCAGTTTGTGTTCGGCAGTACAGGATGGTATTTACGGTGTGTTCCTATGTCGGCGTCACCGCAGAAATGGCGACGGAGGCGTGATGACATATCAGGAGATGCTGCGAAGTAAAACCGTCCCAGTCGACAGAGCTCCCTTGCGCTTCCTTGGGATAATTTGTCACTTCTGGAGTCACGTGGACTAAGAGGCATGTAGCAGGTGAATATTTTATCAACCACTGCCTGGCAATGGCTGTCATTATATGCTGTAAGCAGCTACCAGCCTTTCACCCGGGTGGGAGAGCCTTGGACACAGTGGCCGGAGTATGTGGTGTGAGTGCGCACTCCCAGGCTCCGAAGGTAACAGGAAACAGAGGCATGTGTTGAGAAAAACTTTGTCATCCTCAACCGCTGTGTTTTATTTGTCACCTATAAATAATGAACGCGTTTACAGGAGGGGGCTGGAAAGAGCGTATAGACTGAGAGCCAGAGAACTTGTGTGCTCTTCGTCCCTTTATCCAAATTACTGCCTTCGGCGTGAATAATGGCATGGCTGACACAGAGCTCCGTATTGATTTGTTGCTCAGGAAGGCTCGCTGGTAGTTCCTTGGAATTTTCCTGAAGGTATGGCTGTAACAACACTGTTGGGATCTGTTGCCTCTATCCCCATCTCATGCCAGACAAGTTCAGCAGGGACAGATCCAGAGTGGGAGAGCTCCCAGTCCTCTGTAGAACTCTTTGCCTTCCCCTAGCACATGGGCACAATCGCCTCTTTGTTTCAGAAAACCTGTTTGGGAAATATTTGCCCACAAGGAGAAGTAAAATGGTGTCTGGTGTTAGAGGGGCATCTCAGGGTCTACTTAGGGACAGTCCTTCCCATAGCTGCTGTAATTTTGTAAGAAACTCTGCATAACCTATAAATGCTACTTATTCTATCAAGTTAACTAAGAGGAGCTGTGGCATCCGCTTTTGGTAACTCTTAACCAGCCAGGTACTGGGAGACAGCTGTAGCCTGATCCTGCAGTTCTGGGGCTGATGCCTGGTTTCTTACACAGTGTTTATTGCCTTGACATTATAATAATGAAAGATATTAGATTGCATCCTCATAAAGGATGTTATCTTTACAAGCCAAAGTTAGGTTTCTCCCTAGGCGAGTGTCTATTTCTTAATGGAATATTAAGGAATACATGAAGGGAATGCATTGTCTGGATGTCTGTCCTGCAAGAGCACAATATTAGGAAGGGGAAGTTTTATGCACTTTAGAAGGTCTTAAGCA